ATTGTTATTATTCATGTTTTAGTTATTTTTTCTACATTGTAAAATGTCTTTAAATTTCGGAAACGTGTGACCTAAGTTCTAAAGTACATAATGACCGAAGAAATAAACCACTACAACTACTACTAATATCCAAAGGCCCACCAAACAACATCACAAAGCACACTGACACTGGTTAAAAAACACTGAGGGGAGGGGTCAAGATTTTGAATTATTTACATCCAATCAGGAAGCTTTGGGGGCGGGTCTAACTGGCGCTAACATTCCAAAAACATCTTTACTATTTGAAAATGAACTGACCTTCACTTTAAGATTTCTCTCTAAAGAAAATGAAATCAGCTCAGCAAATCTAGGGTTTGCATGTTCTCATGTCTTTGTAGGTTCCCTCTGGGTGCTCCTGTTTGTACAATAGCACTGGTTGGCAGTTGTTAGAAGGTCAGGTGTGTGTCACTGTGTGTGGAGTGAATGCTAAATTACAACGAAAGCACTTTTTGTGATTTTGGGTCCATAAATGTCCATAAACGACAGTAGCTCAGTTGGTAGAGCATTGGCTCTACCATTGGCACGGGACCTTTTCCACCGACTCCCACTGATGCCTGCTGTTGCTGTGTCCTTGGGCAAGACACTTAACCCACTTAGCCTATAAGGAGCGCGGATATGATGTTCGCTGCATGCCTTGATGTGTAAGTGTATCAAACTGAAATTTCCCCATTGTGGGACGAATAAAGGACCTTCTCTCTCTCTCTCTTAAAAATAACTTCTAACATAACTAGAAACCGTTGCAATGGCTGAAGCCATTGCGATTGACTGCGGAACAGATCTAATGTGGAATTTAGCTGAAAAATCCTTGAAATCCTTGAAACTGTTAAAATACTTTAAACATCTTTGAAACTCCTGAAGTATTTGAAGCTCCTGATATCCTTTAAACTGTTATCCTTTATACTGGTTTTCATGTAAAAACCCCTATTAAGTTCCATTATACTGGTTTACATGTAAAAACCCCTATTAAGTTGCATTATACTGGTTTACATGTAAAAAACCCTATTAAGTTGCATTATACTGGTTTACATGGAAAAATCCCTATTAAGTTGCATTATACTGGTTTACATGTAAAAAACCCTATTAAGTTGCATTATACTGGTTTACATGGAAAAATCCCTATTAAGTTGCATTATACTGGTTTACATGTAAAAATCCCTATTAAGTTGCATTATACTGGTTTACATGTAAAAACCCCTATTAAGTTCCATTATACTGGTTTACATGTAAAAACCCCTATTAAGTTGCATAATACTGGTTTACATGGAAAAATCCCCATTAAGTTGCATTATACTGGTTTACATGGAAAAATCCCTATTAAGTTGCATTATACTGGTTTACATGGAAAAATCCCTATTAAGTTGCATAATACTGGTTTACATGGAAAAATCCCCATTAAGTTGCATTATACTGGTTTACATGGAAAAATCCCCATTAAGTTGCATTATACTGGTTTACATGGAAAAATCCCTATTAAGTTGCATTGTACTGGTTTACATGGAAAAAACCCTATTAAGTTGCATTATACTGGTTTACATGGAAAAAACCCTATTAAGTTGCATTATACTGGTTTACATGTAAAAACCCCTATTAAGTTGCATTATACTGGTTTACATGGAAAAAACCCCTATTAAGTTGCATTATACTGGTTTACATGAAAAAACCCTATTAAGTTGCATTATACTGGTTTACATGGAAAAATCCCTATTAAGTTGCATTATACTGGTTTACATGGAAAAATCCCTATTAGGTTGCATGATTACACTGAAGTCCTTGAAACTGCTGAAGTCCTTGAAACTGCTGAAGTCCTTGAAACTGCTGAAGTCCTTGAAACTGTTGAAGTCCTTGAAACTCTTGAAATCTTGAAACTGCTGAAATCCTTGAAACTGTTGAATCCTTGAAACTGTTGAATCATTGAAACTGTAGAAATGTCTGAAAGAGCTGAAGTCCTATTAAAATGCATGGGCCTATTAAAATGCATTGCAGAATTCTCAATGCAGATTTTTGTCCGATTGCGGAAAAACCGGAAATCGCTGAAGTCCCAAAAGTAATAGCAATAATCTCCCAAACATGTGGAACGTTTTGATGTATAACTTGTGGAAATTGTTGAAAATGTGAAAGCTGTGAAACGTGTCAAAAAAAATGACGGAATAAAGAAATACAAAACCAATGGTTGACTGCGGAAGGTTCCGCAGTCAATCAATGATACCTGTTGCTCTATCCAAGATTTTGAGTCTTGCACCTGCATATGGCTGAATTGACTGGGACATAGCACACTATAATAAGTCTTATTATATAGTTCTGAAGGTCGCCGGTCTGCAGTAGGCACAGTATTTCAGGGAGCTGCAGTCTAATCCACAGCACTTGGGATGTCTAAAGGCAATAAATTATTTTAAATCACAGCCAAGGCTAAAAATTTATAGAGAATATAATATAGTCTTGCACCATTCATAACTGTGTTCAGGAAGAGCCTTGGCTTCTCTTCCATTTTAGTCCAACACAATCTTTTTAACAAGACTGCATTGCTTTTCTTACTGAATTGTGTGACATTAAACATATCAATTGTAGATAAGAATGCACCAACTCAGCCTTTTCTAGCCAATACTTATTTTGGCTTTCAATCTGCCCAATTTAAATACATTTCATCACATTTAACTTGATACAATTTGGCTCCAATCGTGTGGGTGAGTGAGAACAAACTCTATTCTAATTTAAAGGTGCAATAATATCATAGAGATGTTACCCAATCTAGCATAGGAATAAAGTGACAGCAGTAGAAACACATACAAGTTATATCTGCGGAGAGGTGAGTCCGGGCTGACCACAAACAACATAACACCATACTGATGTGCATCCAAACTCCAAGCCTTATCAGGCCTTGATGGATACTTTGGGCTTTTGAAGTTGTAAATGTGTAATATAAATACACTTGACTTTGACTTTGTAAGCAGAAAAAGCTGATACTGGTCCCTATAACCCTAATTCTGTATTAGGACTGCTGACGTCACCATAGTGTTTTCAAAATGCGTTTTTCATGAACATCGCAGACGTGTTACAATCATAGTTTCAAAGGCAATCTAGAGTTTCCACAGTGAATGAAGGAATCTGATTGGTTACATGTGGATTTACAGAGACAATATGAAACATATAAAAACAGGATCAGGTTTTTTATGACTCTTTTTAAGCCCAAGATGATTAGTTATGATTTAGTTTGAACCACACAGTTACTGACCTAGGAGTTTGCTTTTTAAAGTCTATAGGAGCCAGAGCGAGTAGCAGCAAAACTTCCCTATTGGGCTTCATTGAGCTAGGGGGTTAGCATTGTCCAGCTGTATACAGTATATGCCCTGGACACCATTAGATGTTAGAATCTGTATTGTGCACTGAAATACGGTATGTTTTCACTGACCCAGGGCTTCTTTGTCAACCACTCTGAATATTGGCCACGTTGGCTTTATTCAATAGAGGAGTGTTAGAAGCATGCAATCTACATTATAAAGCGATAACCTGGTTTTATCCCCAGCTCTGCTCAAAAAGCACATCTTGAAGGTAGCATCCTGCCTGGAGCCTGTTGTTCTGCCCCACTATGACTCATTTCCAAAACAGATGCGTGTTCCGCTGTTATCTCCCCCTCACAAAGGAAAACACACAGTTGAAAGTCTATCTACGGATAAAAGCTTGTGCATATAGCGTGCGCTGATATCTCTGACTGTACAGTATCACACAGAGATGAGATGTGGGGTAGATGACAGCTTTCACAACGCATGATCAGAAATGTGATTGATGAGAGAGCCGACAATGGTTTCGCTTTTTTGGGTTTTGCCAGAGCACAATGCACAAAGGTACAGTGATGAATGAGTTTACCGTGCGAAGGTAACTGCTGAGAGTAGCACCTATTGTCAGAGCCGAGGGCAATTCCTAATGGGTAAATGTATACACAGGTCATTTCTATTCTTTAAATACTTCATTTTGTTTAATGCATGGTGGCAGATTTGTGATTAGACCACATGACCTGGACCGGTTTGTTTCCTTCATGACACCAATATGCTATATGGCTGCACGATTTTAACCCTTGTGCTATACTTAGGTTAAAAAAAACCACCACAGTGATTGAAAGTAATAGAAAAATAGGGCCTATAAGGATCTGAATTACCCAGGGCTGGTCAAGATAGGAAGAATTACACAAATTCAGCTTCAAGGTAGTTTAGTGTATTAGTGTGTATAATTATCTAAGGGTTTGCAGATTTTATATTTATAAAGTATATTTTTAAGTGCACAAGGACAACATTTGAGAGAGAACTGCAACATGCACTGTTTAAATTTAAATTTGAAATTTGTAAGTACTCCCACACTCCAAAACACTTAATTAAGATCGCATTAGTGCTGTTTGACATTGGCAGAGATACTTTTATGTTTAAACCTGTTGTAGAGCTCTCAGCTGTCAGATTTACATAATATGCAACAAGATGATTTGCTGTTTGCAAAGTAAATAATTTAATCAAAATAATTTAATCAAAATCAAAGAAATTAGTTAATGGTTTCAATAATAAATGAGAGATTCCAAATAAAGGCAAATATACAGTATGGCAGCAGGTTTATCCTCCAAACAAGTTCAAAACCAGTAAAATGCTACAGTTACAAAAATAAATAAGTGACAATAACAATTTTTGGAAGAAGAAATTATCTTTTTACGGTCCTACTTTCTAAAAAGTCCAAAAACTAACTAAAGAAAATAACCTTAGCCTCTATGTGTCTTGTTTGTGGCAAAGTCCTTTCAATGCTTCCGATGTCATGACTTCCTGTTATTTTTGCCAAAACGGGAAGAAAATATTTTGCAAACACGTGTCAGGAAAAGTCAGGCAGAAATGAGGTGAGATTCATTCGGCACACAGACTCCTTCTCAGTCCCGCAGCAGAATCCCATCTTTCCTGGCCACAGTTTTGTAAACAGCCCGTCTTGTACAGCCCACATGGCAGAGGAAGCTCGCGGCCAAAACTGACGGATACTAAACAGCCCAACTGCAGCAAAACAATAAGTTCTCCCATGTTCGACACTCAGTGCTTCCACTCCCCCTCTTCTCTCCATCTGCCAGACCGCATCAGCTTCAGAGACCGCCGCTGAAAGGCACACTGCTTTGGGAATGAAAAGCAAATTAAATGTCACTATAAATCTTAATATCATTTTTGTGTGTGTGTGTCTTTTTCATAAAAACATATGTGAATGGGTGTGTTGTTTTGATACACATTTTTGTTTTGTTTTTTTAATCTCCGAAATCTATATGGATTTGTAGCGTAAGTTAAGTGAAGATACGGTAAATTTCAATGCCCCCGTAGAGAAATTTGTTCTCTGCATCCGACCCATCCTTCCAATACCACCTCTGGGTGCACTACTTATACCCATATCCCTGAGCTTTGATTTTCTGTGAGTGGACGACTCAAGGTTTTCTTTAGTTTTAACAGTGACAACATCGAGCGATAAAGATACAAGTCCAAGCATAACAGTTTCTACTATCAGAGGGGATCCAAATTATATCGTCTTCAAAGAGTAGAGACAAGTAAAAGGGTAAAAGGAGACAGTGCTTTTAGGGGATTAGCCATGTATCATAGAAACAGATAGGACAGACTTGCAGCTCAAACAACACAGTAGAGAAGTGAATTGTGCAGTCAAAAATCGAGGCAGATATTACCTTGCAAAATGAAACGTTTTATACTAAATTATTATTTAAACATGGACGACGCCAACGCATTTCAGCACTAGGCCTTCTTCAGGGCTTGATTAAAATGCTGCAATCAAGCTTTTTTTAAATTCAAAGTCAAGAGGTGAGTTTTTCTTTATTTCTCTCATTTTCATAAAATCATTTCCCCAAAAACATTACATGACAAATCCCAGGGAAATATTTTTGTTGTTTGAATTTCCTCTCAAAATCAAATGAATCCAGTTGCACGTCTATCTCACAGTCACAATAATACCTCACAGTCATGACATTCTGCCACTGAAGCCAGAACATCAGTGCGTTATCTCGGCCTGTTTTCAGGACTGCTGACAAAGCCCACTCCCAGAATAGATCATGACTCGCAATTGAATCTCCAGAGCATGTTAATGAGTGGAAAAGTGACCCTGTGTTCTTCTCTGTGTTTTGCCATGTTCCATTGAGTGTGACAGGATATTGCACTGAACTGATACCATTCATTTTTATTTTTTTAAACAGTTAAGTGGTTAATCCCCCAATCTTCCTCCAGCCAAAGTGCCTTTCAACAGAGCAGCGATATCATTTCCCAAACATACATATGCATACAGCTGTGGGCAAGGCTGCGTCTTTCCCGTTGACTAAGAATAATACACACTGGTCCCAGTTGGACTCAAACCTAAAACATTAACAGTTTTTGAGGATGTGGAAAGAAATCAAGGTCGTATCAAAACATCTTATCTGCATCTGTGTTTGAATGGGATTTCATGCTTCAAACACAAGAACACGCTAAAGAAGGGATTAATTTCAAGTGATCCGATAAGGTCAGTGGTGCATCCTGCATGCATAATTAACTGCCTGTACGTCGGACTGTCCTTTGAGACCCCAGACTTTTAGGAATTACTGTTATTGTGGGTGATTTTTCCACTCTCTGGTACTGGTGCTATATAGACACCATTGGTATGTCGAGTGTACTGTATATAACAATTTAACTGTATTTTAAAAAGCACTCTCTAACTTGCATGTAAGGCAACCATGAGTGTCACAAAAGGCCCCTAAGAAATAAAATTTTAAACTATGATTATCATTATTATTATTATTATAAGTCGGAACAATGTGACATGTGTTAACATCCTTGTCACGGAATATAAGAAATTAACAACAATTGCCATCTGCCATGAATTTCCAGTAACACCCCGAACTTTCCAGTAACATGGGAATATTGCTGTTGATTTAATGATCTGTGCCATATGTTCAAAATAATGTATCTAAAATGTTCTCAAATCTTCACAAACCTAAACTCTTTTGAGCCTACTTCTTTGCTACTGCTCTGTACATGGTGATTCACAGTTCTGACTAAACAGAAATCTCATATATATCAGTAAATATTCAGTAATAACGCTGGCAGATGTTCCGTTATTGGCCTTTTAACAATATATATGCGCCAACCTTCAACACAGCACTTTCTGCTTGTTTATTTGGCTTGAAAAGGAATTAGTAGTCTGTTCAAGGCTTATTTTCAGTAGAAATGATCAGGCCTGTGCATAAACACACCACTCAACAAACAAGCACTGCTTTGACAATAATCATTTTCAAATCAAACATTTCTCTCGCAGGGACCACGCCACCCCCATTACAATGTGATTCTTGAGAAAGCTTCATGATGACTGGATGGGAGTCCCCCTCCGTGATAATGCTCATGGGTTCAAGGCAGATGAGAGACATGGAGAGTGGATCGAGCTCAAAGCTGGAATAAAGGCTGAATAAATGTATTCTGAGTAACTGACTAAAAAGAAGGAGGCGAGGAGAAGAGGTGTGGTTGGTTGGAGTGGAAAAGAAGGAGGGTGAGGAGTGGCTCTGCTCCCAAACCTTACAAAATGAAAATAATATTATATCCATCAAAAAGGAAAAATGACAAACCTACAGATGGCAAATTATAACAATGCACAATGACACTCAAATACGCTTCACATGTCATTATTCTTTCACTCCAGACACGGTGGTGTAAAACTACTACTGTAGCCACAGCTGCCCTGGGGCACACTGACAGAAGCAAGGCAACCAGTATGTGCCATCGTCCCTCAGACCACCACCAACCATTCACACACACACCAGACTCATTCCAAGCAATGTGGATGAAGTGTTTTGCCTAAGGACACAACAGCAGCCACCCCACTATCATTCTACAGGTTGCCATTTAAAGCTGGGGTCCTCAACAAAATCAGAAATACAAATCAATCCAACTAGTTCCTCGCTCCTAAAGTTTGGTTCTATACCATGTTTTCATATGCATGCACATTTCAAAAAGTAAAATAAGATGTTTTCTAATTAGACTCATGTTGTGGTCTGACTTCCCTTTACAAAACTCATCCTGCTGAGATAAACCAAATTAATCATTTATGACCAAAGGCAGGCACCCCAGAACTAATCATTGTCCGAAAAACACTGTAATCTGGCCCCATATTGGTAAGCAAGCCAAATCAGCGTGTATGTAATTATAAAAAAAAGCACCTTTGCAGTCAGGCTGTAGGACGCAGGCAACACAAAAGGTGAAGAGCAATAAGCTGAACATGAGAATCACAGTGAAAGCTCCTGGTGCCAATTTCATGCATTGATGGTCGCACTGCAGTGAACACAAAGAGGAGGCAAACATGCATGGAGCCAACGGTAACTGTTAGTAGAGTTGTTGGATTTTCATTAAAGTGAATTAGAATATATTCAAAGTTTAGACAGCTTTGGGTTAACCTACGTGTGTGATGGGATGTGATGGACGCATCAGCAGCATTCGCCCATCCCCCAGCCATGAAACACAGGAAGTTAAATTAAGAAGAGCGCAGAAAACATCTGTTTAGAGTAGCCTCAGGCTTACTTACACACGGGCTACTGTTTGTTCTGAACATAGGAGGTATTGTCTTCACCTAAGGATGGTGGGACATATTGTTGCATGTGTTTCAAATTATCATGGTATAAGACCAGAGCTCTTGGTCCATTTCTTTGTCACTCTGCTGCTTTCCATCCAGCAGAGACCCAGACTAGACTGTAGTCTGTAACTTGTCTGTTTGTGCTGATGTCCAGATAACCTGTAGTTTTGAACCAGCGGCTGACAACATGTATTAAAGAGATTATGTTGTTGAAATGTGACTAGTTTTTTCACAGTAACACTATAAGCGGCCAATATCCAACTGTTATATCATAGAAAGTTAGCAAAGTCTTATGTTTAATATATTGAGCAATTGAAATGAAGCTATTTTCTATCTAATTGGTAATGCCAGATTCTTCATTGGAAAAATAATACAATAAAACGGAACGCAAATGATCAAAATCAAGCACAAAACAAAGGAAAAATAATGAAAATAAGGAATCACTTTGAATTACAGTCATGCCATTTTAAAGTTGATGTCTGCAAGTGCAATGGTGATTAAATGTCAAGTATTTTTCATAATGAACATATTTAAACACTCCCACCTAATGGAATAATCCTCACCAGTGAGAATGGTTAGAATTGAATTGTTAGACCGAGTGTTCCAACCTTTCTGAGGCTTGGCACACCTTTCTCATTGAAAATCACAAGGCACACCACCAGCTGGAACTGATACAAAATAGAAACTCTGCAGCCTTTACCAACAGACATTCTCATCAAAGTTTACTATATTAAAAGCACAAAATGAATCTTTCCAATCTCACATTTGTTTATATTAGATCATTTGGGTCATAATGTGTCATCTCTGGACGTATTGTCATAGTTACCATAGGGGTTAGGCAGTATATGTCTCGACTTCAGCCTAAACCCTTTTCTGTCAAGCATTATTTAGCACTAAAATTGTTATTATTCATGTTTTAGTTATTTTTTCTACATTGTAAAATGTCTTTAAATTTCGGAAACGTGTGACCTAAGTTCTAAAGTACATAATGACCGAAGAAATAAACCACTACAACTACTACTAATATCCAAAGGCCCACCAAACAACATCACAAAGCACACTGACACTGGTTAAAAAACACTGAGGGGAGGGGTCAAGATTTTGAATTATTTACATCCAATCAGGAAGCTTTGGGGGCGGGTCTAACTGGCGCTAACATTCCAAAAACATCTTTACTATTTGAAAATGAACTGACCTTCACTTTAAGATTTCTCTCTAAAGAAAATGAAATCAGCTCAGCAAATCTAGGGTTTGCATGTTCTCATGTCTTTGTAGGTTCCCTCTGGGTGCTCCTGTTTGTACAATAGCACTGGTTGGCAGTTGTTAGAAGGTCAGGTGTGTGTCACTGTGTGTGGAGTGAATGCTAAATTACAACGAAAGCACTTTTTGTGATTTTGGGTCCATAAATGTCCATAAACGACAGTAGCTCAGTTGGTAGAGCATTGGCTCTACCATTGGCACCGGAACCTTGCATTTGCCTGACTTGTGTGCATGTGTCCTTGGGCAAGACTCTT